CATCGATCAGGCGACCAATAAATTCTTACGCATGCCACACATCCATCAAATCATGCTCAAACCCAAACCAAAAAAAAACATATACAGATACAGATACAGATATTTATGTATCTTTTCGAGCTGACAACAGTTTAAAAGTGTTACCATTGCACGAACTGCACGACTAATTGGATTTTTTTTTTTACATTTTTTATATTTTCCTTTATTTTTTTTTTGTCAACTAATCCGATTTGTTTGTGTACGTTTCAGGGCCTGCAAGAAAATGAAGAGAAAAAAATAAAACTAACCCATGCCCAGAGCATTGGTTACAGTTTTAGGCTTATGAATCAACTCGAGTATTTATAGCATTGCGCCGTCTGTTAACCTAGTTTTGAAATATGTGTCGGCCAATAAGTGTGTCCCCCTTTCAAAGGGCGCCATCTTTTTGGCCCCAGTCGAACTCTATGCTGCGAAAAGCGAAAAGCAGCCCCAGACAGTTTTCAGCTTGCTCTGCATAATGACATTTGTTTGCTAACTTTTCTATTGTTAAAGTTTAATTAGTTGTTCAGCTCTGTTCTCCACTGGATTCCCAATTTATGCACTCATCTCCCCTCGCACTCACTCCCCCCACTCCACCAACTCTCACTAGCTCCTTCTGTCTCTGTCTAGGTTTCAGAGTAGTCGTGCTTTGAAGGCGCCGCTGGGCTTTTGTTTTGATAATTGAAGGGTGCACTCAGAGACAGATTCACTAAAGAGAGTGAACAACAGCGGAACTCAGAGAGAGAGAGAGAGAGAGAGAGAGAGAGAGAGAGAGAGTGAGTGGGAAATGGACTAAGGTTAAATATAAAGTAAGTTATATTTTCTGTTGACTTTAACTAGCCCATTTAATCTCAAATATTGTTTTTTTTTTATTGATGAAGTGGACATCATTTATACTAAATAGAATACTGAGCAGAGTGGTAAATAAAGGTAAAACAGTGTAAATTATACATTAGATTTATTTGTATTTTAATGAATTCATTGTGTCACTTAAGAATTTGTAACTTATTCATAAATAATAATATATTTAACATTTAATCTCTCCTCGAAATGCAATTGATATCAATTTTAATTCATGAATTTGAATTTTTTACACTTTTTGTAAATTTTATGTAATACACTAAGAAAAGTCTCACCCAAAACAAGAATCGAATCACAAGTTATGAAAAAAATGCTTAAAATCAGAAAGGCTCATTTCTATTTTTCAGAAATTATTTTCTCAATAATAGAAAATATTTCTAAATAGTTGAAATACAAATTAGATTATATGAAACCACCTAAAATAGTTGGGTATGTCAAATCATAAAATTACTAATTTTGTATAATAATATAAATATAAAAGAATTATTGTATATGTAAACATAACAAAACGCCCTGAAAATAAGGTAAATTTTTTTAAAATAAATAAAAAAAAGTACTTTAGAATAATGAAAACAATTGAAACAATGCGATTTCCTCAATTCAGTGCGATTTTTGTGAGTGTACGAATATTAATAAGTTATCTAACTCTTTTAAATAACAATTAGTGGCGAAACATGTTTTTGTCAAATACTCAGCACTTATGATAATAAATAATGAGTTTAAAAACAGAAAGTATTTCAAGATGTTATCTAAAGTCAGCCAAAAAATATATATTGTGTAAACACCATAAAGAACTCTTGAGGTTAATCGAATAAAATTTAAGAATAGAAATAAATAAAGTTGTGCAAAACAGCAGAAACTCTCACGATCTGCCGCTGTCTGTCGGTGATGCGGTTTCTGATCGCGAGAATGACTCAGCTGCAACACTCGAACCTGTCTTGCCGGTTGTTAAATACTAGAATTTAATTTTGAGGTTGATTGCATGGCAAAATTAAGTGCTGATGCTTAATTTTCTCACTGATTGCAATAAATGACAGCCGACAGCTAGAAAAACACCACAAAACGCAAGCTAATTATAAGAGAAAAAACCCACAACGATGTCAGCGTAAACAAAATACAAAATAAATCTAAATCAAACATTGCTGATGAGCGCGAAAGTAAACAAAACGCTTCGGAAAACGATTTGCATGTCAAACAAACATGAGTTCGAGCTGAGAGATTTGTATCTGTATCTTTACATATTTCTGTAACTGCTATTCATTGCAGCGTATAAGTGACGTATTTTAAAGATGTTTTTATAACTATGCATGTGTCTCCAACAATCTTCGATTTCAACATGTAGCAACATTGGAGTAATACATTTTAAATTTCACACTGTATAAATTCGGGTTAGACCAAACGAATTGTATTTTTATCAACATGAACTATAAGTTGTTTTTTGTTTCGCACTTAAAAATTTAATTGTAAAAAGGGGCGTTTATACATATATTAATTGAAATGCTTATTTAGCCTTATTTGAACTGTCCTGAACTAAGCATAGTCTATATAACAGCTTAAATAAGAAATGTTATGAACGCAACACATACGAAAGAGTGATGAACACGACTAAATAGATGAGAGAAATCATATTTAATCGATTAAAAAATCTAAATTTTTATGCATGCTCCAAAATTCGCAAAATGTTTCTGTTTTGGCCTCTAAAAGTATTCTTAGACCTCCCTTTTACATATATTGAATGGTCAGGAGGGTATCTCTGAGTCGTGTACTCACATTAAAATCACGTTTGACTGTGGTTTACGACACGATAGAGTATGGTCCATTTGGGAGCAGCTTAGCCTAATGCCTGTTGCATAAATTAGTAATATCAAAAATGGATTGTTAGCTTGATTGCGATTGTTGGTTTATGACTAAGGTCACTTGCTGGCTAAAAAGGAAGTGGCTGTAGACTGTCATTTGATTTTGATAGTTTGTTTGCACAGAAAATATGCATTTTATAATTGGAAAGGCAAATCACATAGTTAAATATATTTGAAAGTTAACAACGACTTTTATTTTTGCTTGGCTCGTAAATATTTAATAAAAAAAAAATAATAATAAGTTGTATTAATTTGTTGCAATGCGCAGGGTGCGATTTTTCGAAAGGCGTGTACCAATTTCAAAATTCGCTATACATATAAAATGTGAATTATTTGTGTATACAAAATTCACCCATTTAAATCACAAATTAATATAATTGGCATTAAGTCAACGGCGACAGCTACAAAACTCCTCCTTCCGGTCACGTAAATTGCAGGTTATAAAACAGCAAATATCTATCTCTTGATAAAAAAAATAATAATAATAAATTTAGCTAGTCAAAATAATAGCATATATTCCATATATCTATAACACAGCAATTTACTGGCTTAGTGAATTGTGGCATTATGTTAAAATCAGATTAGGCCAAAATCAGATGGACTAAATCTGGCAAGTCTTTGACATTATGTTCAAAAATACTCATAGTAAAGTTAACTACAAGTTATTTATAGCTTCAATTGATTTTAGAAGAGTATTTTATGATAGATTTTTTTAGTAAACATAATCCGTAATACTTTATTTTAAATAATGTAAATCTATTTTAGAGATGTTAGCAAGTTTTTCAAATCACTTTGTAATTAATTATCAGAATTTTATTTCCAATTTGATGACAGCTATAGTAAATGTGAAATCTTTTGAAGTCTTAATGCATTTCTAGAAATTTTTTAATGAAGTCTTCTACCAGAAATGATATTCAGACTGTTGGCCCTTTAGGAATTTAATACCAAATTAAATTAACATTATAAAACACCTATTTCCATAGTCGTCCGTTTATGTTGTTGAGCTTTAATAGCTATTCCCAGTTTTGTTAAATCATTTAATTTGTTAATGACTTAAAATTTGTATTTAAGTGCCGCAAACAAGTCTCCGAAAAAAACCTATGAGATTTTATGGTCTGAACGCGAATCCCAAATACGATCCACAATACATATATATACACATTCTGTATATATCCACAAGTTTCGTTGCGCTCATCCAGAAATGAATTTAGTAAGTAGTATGAAGGAACTAAGTATTTCACAATAAAATCTCATCGTAAATCTCAAATATTAAAACAGCATTTCAACATTTTGTTATTTTAACACATTCGAAAACATTGTGAAACCTGATCCATCAAAAATATGCCGTTAAGAATTGCAAAAATATTTCAAGCTGAAAAATATCACCATACAAATAAATCCATTTTAGCCGACGGCAAAACTTAGGCAAGTTAAAACCTTCAACAAACGAAATAAAAATTCAAACAATTGGGTTTATATTTTTTGAAAAGATTTTTCTTTTATTTGTGTGGATTTTTTCTGGTTTTTATGTTTTCCAGACGATTTGGCTGTTTGTTTTTGTAAGCCATGCGCCTTGTTTCAGTTTATCATTTTGATGTTTACTAACATTTTTTGTTGTTGCCTTTAATAATAATAATAATAATAATTTTTGTTTTATTACAATTAATTGTGTTTCATTTCTTCTTTGCAGTATTCATAAGCATAATTAATAATTATAATTAAATTTGTTTATATAATAGATAATAATTAGAATTACTTAATGTATAAGAGAATCTATAAAATAGAATGTTTATTTCTATTTATATATTTTTTTTGTTTTTGCTTATGCATTTTTATGTGTGTTTTTGAATTTTTTTGTGGAAATGTGAAATATTTGTAAAGTTTTTGTACAGCGCAGAAAAATAAAGAGAAATTCAAAATAACATGAAAACAATTTATTTGTTTAGTTTTTTTTATCACACAATTGTCGTTTAGGTTTTTTTTTCTTTTTTCTTTTTTTTTTTGTTAGCAAAAATGTGTGGAATGTGTGTATGAGTGGTGAGTGGGGAGGGGGAAAGGTGTGTGTGGGGAGGGGAAAGATGTTCACTTCTTATGGTACAACAGTGCGTATGCTTAATTGTAAAATGCTTGTATTATTTAGGTTTTACATTACATTATTATAATTGTATTTAATTGTTAATTGAATTTATAAGTGCTAAAAACTAAGTCTAAAATTTGTTTATTTTTTATTTTATGCTAAATGTGTGTGTGTTGTGTGTGTGTGTGTGTGTGTGTGTGTGTGTGTGTGTGTGTTGTGTGTGTTCGATTGTGTAGTGTAGAGTTTATATGCAATAATTTACAATGTGGATATATCCAACATGGCAGCGCTTGCCTCGTGCAACTGCTGCGAATGCGTGGCATGATAATGATACAATTGTTGCTGCTGCTGCTGATGTTGCTGCTGCAAGTGTTGCTGATTTTGCAAATGCTGCTGCTGGTGCTGATGATGCTGCTGCTGCTGGTGCTGTTGATGTTGCTGTTGCTGCTGCAGATAATGTTGCTGCTGCTCCTCCAGCTGTTGCTGCATGTCCAGCATGCTCAACGCTGCCGCGGACGTAGAGGAGGAAACTGTTGCTGCTGCTGCCGCTGCCGCTGCTGCTGCTGCTGCTGATGTTGTCGTTGTTGACGCTGCAGCGGTTGACAGCTGATAGGCGGCAGCCAAGGCGGGTGAATGCGCGTTGACCGTATTATGACCACTTGAATGCGCCGAGGAGCGACCGCCCGACGAGCCAGAAGCTGTTGGACTTGGCCGGCCATTCAGCAACTGTTGCTGCTGCTGCTGTGCAGCTGCTGCTGCTGCTGCTGCGGCTGCTGCTGCTGTTCCTGGCATATTATAGTTGCCATTGACAGCTGCTGTTGCCGGCGGCGGCGGTGGCGGCGAGACGGCGGCTCCATAGGCGCTGGCCATTTCTCACATGTGTGCCAGGGGCGCCATTGCTCGCAGCGATTGCTGGTGCAACTGTTGCTGCTGCTGCTGTTGGTGCGGATGTTGTTGGTGTGGATGCTGCTGCTGCTGTTGCTGCTGCTGTTGGTGCGCATGTTGCTGGTGTGGATGCTGCTGCTGCTGTTGCATGACATGTTGCTGTTGCTGCAAGTCCGGTGAAGCCGTCTGATAGTGCATCAAATGGCGCTGCTGTTCCGTTGCACCACCCACACCCACACCCACCCCCACCCCCACCCCACCACTGAGGCCATCGTGCAGATGATACATGTTCATCAGATTGTTCAGCTCGGCGCCGGCGCCCGCTGCAACATATTCGCGCTTCATAATGTGATTGTTGTTGTTGTTGTTGCTGCTGCTGCTGTTATTGTTGTTGTTGTTAAGGGCAATGATGCTGGGACTGGGCGAGACGGGTTCGGACTTGATGCTCGAATCACTGGGACTGTGACTCTGACAGGACACCTGAGCACCGTACGGCGCCGGCGAGGCAGAACTACCAGGTTGCTGCTGCTGCTGCTGTTGCTGTTGCTGCTGCTGCTGTTGCTGCTGCTGGAGTCCGTAGGGCGAGCCGGGCTGCTGGAGACTGCTGCTGCCATAGGGCGAGGTCTGTCCGCCGGCAACGGTGTCGTACATCCCGTATCCGTTGTACATGTGGCTCATCTCGTAGCGGGGCGCATAGTTCATGTAGTGCGTCTGGTAGCCAGCGGGATCGGGATGCATGTAGCCGTTGGGCATGTACCCATTTGGCACACTCATCTGATGCAGATTCGGACGTTGCACCGACGCGGCTGCAGCGGCGGCGGCGGCGGCAGCAGCTGCTGCTGCTGCAGAGGCAGCATTGGATGAACCGTTCAATGCCTGACTCTGGGGCATGCCACGTGTGGGCGTGCCCGGTTCGGGCAGTGATTGCTGGCCAGGCATCATGCCGCCCATCGGATACTTCTCCTTGGTCTTGGTCAGCGTTTTGGTTTTGCGACGCGGCCGATATTTGTAATCCGGATGCTCCTTCATGTGCACCGCCCGCAGCCGTTTCGCCTCGTCGATGAAGGGTCGCTTCTCCGCCTCGGACAAGTCCTTCCACTGGGCACCCAGCCGCTTCGAGATCTCCGAATTGTGCATCTTCGGATTGTCGGAGGCCATCTTGCGACGCTGGCCCCGCGACCACACCATAAATGCATTCATTGGCCTCTTCACCCGATCCGCGTGCTGTTGATTTTTATTTGCTGTCGCATTGTTGTTGTTATTGTTATTGTTGTTGTTGTTGTTGTTGTTAGTCATGTTGCTCAAAGCACTACCGGCACCAATCAGCGTGGGATGTTGCTGCTGCTGCTGGGTATGCTGCTGCTGCTGCTGCTGCTGCTGGTGTTGGCTAACTGGTGAGGTCATGTGATGGCTGCCAATGCTGCTCTGCGTCGGACTCAGCTCGCTTGAGCTGTGCAACGGTGAACTTTGTTGCTGCTGCTGCTGCTGCTGTTGCTGCTGCTGTTGCACGTTGCCGCTGAGCGTGTTGGCAATGCTCGATTGGAGGGAGCTGAGCGGATTGGGACTGTGGCTGGCGGCGATGTGTGCGCTCATGTGATGATGATGATGATGGTGATTGTGATGATTGTGCTGGCTGAGATGCGAGTGCGTCAAGTGCGACGGGCCCAGATTCATGAGTGGCGCCAGCGCCGAATACGAGCTGGCTGCGGCGGCGGCAGCATGGGCGTGGCCGGCGTGCAACGGCGCCATTTGGCCCGGCAGAATGCCGCACTTCATGTCCGCCTCCATGGTCAACATTTTTGGGCTAGTTTCTCGCTCGCAACAGTACTCAAAATTCGAAGCTCAGCAATTGCAATACATCAAATTCTATAGATACTTTCCTTGGAGATACTTTTTTTTTTTATTATTTTGCCTTTGTTTGTTGCAGTTAGAAGTTTAGGTTGTTGTTGAAAACATAGATAAACATAGATATTTGTATTATTCAGTTCAACTACAGCATTAGATACTTGTTGTATCTGGAATAACTGCTGCAGATACTCTTTGTAGCTGTTTTTTACTCCTTTTGACTTGCAGATACTTTTCAGCTGATAGACAACAGCTTCAGATTGTTTTCTATCTTGAGATGCTTCCTTCGCTGTGCTAAAGCACCTGTAGATGCTATATACATATATATAGATATATCCAATTGCAGATACTCTTGCTAGATGCGACTTCAGATCACTTGTGGAAGGGTTGCGTTAAATCCGAATTGTATCTATCAGATACTTTTGCGATTTACTGTTACTCTCGTCTGTACACGGTTAATTTTTTCTTACAACTTTTCGTAGCAGATCTTTTATTGGCTCTGCACTTTTTTGAACATTTTTATGGAAACCATGTTGCACTTGTTGGATTTTCAATTTGGGAGTTTGCTAATTAATTTTGTTCGTTTCTTAGCATTTCATAATTGCGAATTTCAGGCAGTTGACACACGCACACATACAAATATGTGAATATATATTATTTTTGGGGAACAGCTTTTGCTATTTGCTTAAGCTTTTTTTTTTTAAATTTTTTTTGTGGTTGTTGAACGCAAAAACACTTGAAAATTGGTTGATTAAAACGCGTCACGAAAAATGCTTTTTGGAGAAATTGATGTGAGTGTTTTTTTGTTAAAATTGTTGGGCAGATTTGTAATTTGTTTTTGTAGATTTTTTGTATATTGTGTTTATTTTTTTTGCTACTATTTGGGCAGCAAAATCAGCGCGCCGAAAATAGCTCCACACAACGCGGAATTGAGCAGCTTTCTGTTTGGTCGTCGAGTTTGCGGACAGCGGCGAAACCTGTTCCCAGCGATAACGACGAGCGCCCCCAAAACGAAGCGAATAACCGACGACGATGACAATAAAAAATCCGAGGTGAGTGTGCGACTGTGTGTGTGTGTGTGTGTGAGAGTGTGTGGCGAAAAACAGCGTCGAAACGAAACTCACGAATCTCGAGAATCTGTTTGCTCGCTTGCGTGCGCGTGTGCTGACGACAGCGAATACGAGAGAGAATGAGAGACTGACTGGCCAGCAGCTGAAACTGAAGGCTCAGCGACACGTGTGCACATACCCCCACACACACATCAGACCCGTTTGACTAGCCACCCTGTGTGCGTGTGTGTGTGACGGCATTTGCAAACCAGTTCTACTCTGCTGTGCTGGGCAGGCGTGAGCGCTAGACAAAGACAACGCTAGTAATGTTAATAAATCAAATAAACGCTACGCTCTGCCTGTGTTGGCTTGGATTTTGCGCAGCGCACAGAGCCAATGAGCGTGACGCGAGAGTGAGATGACGATATATGACGCATTCACTTGCGCAGCATATCGATCCATCGCGTTGTTACATGCGCTGCCAGAGTTGCCATAAAAATGTCGTCGCTGGGCATTCGTTTTTATGGCACAGTGCAGCGTTGCCAGTTTTCAGTTTCAGGGAATAGAGCTTCAAAAAGTCTGGCGGAATTTTTGCGCACGCTTTAAATATGGCCGACAGGGAAACGGGCAGCACCTGGAAGAGAATGGGGTGTGAGCGAGGGATGGCTGGGCAGGTGGGTGGTGGGGGCACAGCAGTGTTTGCGGCGTATTTACGTCTCACGCGCATAGTTTCAATTCTTTTATTATTTGTTTTTTGTTTTATTTTTCTGCATCTTCTCTTCTTCTTCTTCTTATTAACCTAATGGGTTTGCCCAAGGTAGCTGCGTATATTAAAAAAAGCGAACTGAGCTCTAAAAAATAGTCAGGCTGGCAGAATGTATTAAGCAAGTGCTGCCAAGTGCACTGCAGTAACAGTTATAAACTAACTGCACAAGTGTGTGTCTGTCTGTGTGTGTGTGTGTGTCTGTGTGCCTGTGTGTGTGTGTGTGCTTGTGACTTTGATGCGGTCTGGCGTCCTTTAGCTGCTATATACAAATGCACATGCATGTGTGTGTGGTGTGTGTGTAATTATAGCTGCACATGTGAATAGGCAACCGCATTGTCTTGCAACCCCACACACCCCTCCTCCCAACCCCATCCCCTCAGCGTTGCCAAAAACCACGCTTATTGCACATATGCGTAATATATTTTTTCTCCTCACTTTTTTTTTGGAATTTTATGCCTCGGTTTTCATTAGTGCAAAGTAACTTTTGGGTTCTGCTCCTATTTCAGCTTTGGCTGCGTCAGTTGCTTAATGAGCTGAGGCCGATGTTAAAAATGCTAAATATTATGATATATATGAGCAGGTGAGTCAACTAAGTAATTGTTTAAACAAATCAACTACCTACTCGATAGGAAGGAATTTCAGGCAGAATGCAGTTTCTTAAAAACTTTCAAGAACAACAATTGCTATGGCGTTGAAAATCTACAGTTGAAAAGCTATAATTTATTGTCAGCAGATATCTACTGGATAAGCGAAAATTATTTCGAAAGTAATTTAAGTAAGTTGTAATGGAGAAGTTAGATTGTCAATTACAAGTCTCGATTTTGTTAAATAAGAGTAAATTATTTGGAAAATGATTAAATAATTTTTAATACAGAACCTTATCGTTGATAAATAATTTAATAAATGTGGAATTTTTTAAATAAGTGAAAATTATATGGGAACTAATTAAATTTCGTTGTAATACTTTGAGCAATTTTACAATAAGATTATATATTATAGGTCTCAATTTCTTATCGGTTATTTTGAATATGTGAATATGATTTGGAAAGTATTTTAAATTATGTATAACAAGAACTTGTCACTTCGATACATATTATTATAATTCTAAAAATTTTTATCTAATTGAAAATGATAGCAAAATGAAGCAAAATGTTGTAATATAGATCTTTAATCTTTGACAAATGCTTTTATCGAAAAATAAATAGATGAACCAGGCACTTTTAATAACAACTCACAAGTATGGCAGTATTTCAGTTAAGATTTGTGTTGATTAATTTTATTAATTGGGATATTTGAAAATGATTATTAATGTATCTAAGCATTTATTTAATTATATATTCCCATATACCATAGAACAAAAACGCCAAAAATGCACAGAATAAGCATTTTTTTTCTTTTATATTATTGTGAAAAATTACTTATGGATCTAAATTTGCCACAAAGAAAAACTTGTTTTTTAAAACAAGTAAGTCATTCTTACAATATTATCATTATTACAATGTTATTTAATATGTAACTAATACATTTAATATTTTCTTCTTAATGTTGTGTAATAATTCTTCTTAAGTTTAAATATTTTCATTACAATGACCCAGTCTTTCACTTCGACGTTCATTAACTGCGATTCATTTGGACTTTGCTCAGTTCAAAAGCACCCCCTCTCGAGCCTACCCCTACAAAGCACTTGGCACACTACTAACCCAAAAATGAGCTGGCAAGAATCTTAAAATAAAACCAAAATACGATATATAAATGCGAGCAAAACAAATTTATGACCAATTGCAAACGATTTGACAATGAACAAAAGGCGTAAACAATGAAAAAATAAGTATACATATAAAGAACTAAAAAAAAAATGTAAAAACCTGCCCCAGTAACTGACCTACGGCAAAAAAACGCAAATCTTAACCGCAAGAACACAGAGAATCAAAATTTGCTCAAAGCCTTTAATACAATACAAAAAAATATTCGAAAACGTTTCTTGTTCATTATCAGAGCAATTGTTATTGTTGCTATTGCTGTTGTGTATTATTCTATATTTGTGCAGCCATTCGATTCTTTTGGGGAGTTTTTCAAAAAAAAAAAAAAAAAGAAAAAAGAGAGCACATAATAAGCCCAAAACAAACCAAAACCGAAACAGAACCAGACCCAGGCCCAGACTCAGTTCCAGACTCGAGTCTCAGACCGAGTAGACACTCAGACGGCTTTTGTTGCTGTTTGTTTTGCTGCTGCTGCTGTTGTTGTTGTTGTTGTTGTTGTTATTATTTGTGTTTTACGTTTGACGTTTGAGCGTGCTGAGCGCGTGTGAATGGAAAAGGAAGCTCACACACAAACACACTAAAAAAAATAAAAAAAAAAAAAAAAAAACAAAGTCAAGGTCATTGCAAAGAGTTTTAATTGTTCGCACAAAAAAAATGAAATAAAAATACAAATACAAGCACGCACACACACACACACACACACACACACAGACACACACACTACAAATACAACAATGGCGCCGAGCATTACAAACAAACATTCGCACATAATAAAAGAAATAAAACGCAACAAAAACAACAACAACAGAGGCAAGCGGACAATGGCAAAAGGCAACAAGAGGAGCCAACAACAACAGCAACAACAGCAGCCACAAAAGGCATTTGGCAAGCAAACAAGTTCAACAAAAATATTCGCATTATTCGCACACATAGAAGATATGCATCTCTCTTACTCTCACTCTCTCTCTCTCTCTCTCTCTCTCTCTCTCTCTCTCTCTCTCTGTATCTATCTATCTCTCTGCTCACATTTGCACCTGTAAAGTTGTTAACATTTGAACTTCACGCGCAGCAAATATAAAAAGCATGCAGAAACTTGACCAAAAAATAAAAACAAAACTGCAGCTGAATAAAAATCTCTCAAAAAACTCAATAGATCTCAAAACTCAATTTCTAATTTGGAGTAATTATGGGTTGATTACGACTGGCCAATTTGCTCTAACATTTAAATTATTATTAATAATAATTTATTATCGTCATTTGTATATTTATTAATAAATTCTCAAAAGAGTTTTCCCATGTCCTTTTTGAACTAACTTTAATTTATCATGTGAAAACTGCAAGGAAATACTCAAATTATATTTTTGAATTTAAATAATTTCTATATTACTATAAACAATATTATGACATCGAAGAAATGAGAAAGTTATCTTCAAATACATGACTTAGAAGTAAAATTAAATTATCTGTGCATCTATTTGAAGTTTGAAGAAATCCTTGACTTCTTTCGCAACATATTTAAGTGTTAATTTTAATCATTTTTTAAATAATAAAGAATTTAAATTAAATTTAGCTTCTCCCCAACTACATTTTCAGATATTTATTTATTAGATTACCAGCTTATACCGATTATAGTAGACGTGTAACAAAAATATATATTTAAGATAATTTTAGTTGCATTTTATATCTTCTTTTTATTATTACTATATTTGTTTAAGAAATAAAAACTAATTATTTATAGTCCATAATCGAAAAATTATCCTCTACGTATCTCCAGATAATTTGTTTTAAGAAACGAATATTTGTCCATATAAATAAGAAGCAATACTAAATAATGAAATTGAAGGATTATTAATAGTTTACGGAACCTTTATTAGATACTTGCTTATTGAAGTACAGACTAATACTAATCACAAAAAATTGGTTTAGAAAAAATAAAAATACAAATTATTTGTAGTTTGTTGTATATTAAAACTGTCCTGTGTATTTTGAGATAATTTCTCTCGCCCGATTCAATTGTTAACCTTTTACCAACTTTTTGGCATGATAAATACGGACAACTTTTGTTGCATACTTCAGTGGCGCCCCCCCAAAAGTGCTGGTAGCTCAACAGCTTAGCAGCTAACAAGCAGAACAAACTGTATTTAACCTTGAGCAAATAACTAAACGCTGTTTTGCAACTGTGTTTTATGAGTTGATGCGTTTGCCAACACCGAAAAGCGACTGCGAAAACAAAGGCAAAGCGTGTGTTGTAAAAGTTGGGGGTGGGTCTGTGGAACGAACAGAAGAAACACGTATACGACCTGTCTCGACACTTGCAGACTGAAGCGAAACACACACACACACACGCACACACTCAGACACGCACACACACACATTTGTTACTCATTTTACACATTCATTTCCTCATTCAATTCGCAATTGTATACGAAATTTCAATTGTTTGTTGAATGTATTCATTCCACATTCTGGCGTGGCAGGGCTTCGAAATGCTTGCCTCTTCTTGCTGTGATTACTGTTGTTCTTGTTGTTGCTGCTGCTGTGGTTGTTGTTGTTGTTGTTGCTGCTGTTGTGATGACGTGGTTCAAAATTGCATTGCATGGCGAAGTTCAG